CAAAGAAGGATTGAGCAGGTAGAGATAAAAATCGTCTGTGATATTTGTGATTTGCAATCATATAATGATATACCAAATATATGTATAATATAAAATGATATAATATTATGATGTAATGTAATTATATGTATAATCGTCTATGATATGGCAATTTACAATCTATATAATAGGAGCGCATGTGGCGCAGTGGTAAGAGGTGCTCTGCGTCGCACACATGATCACGCTTCGATCTCGCGCTCACGGCTCACTACGCCATCCATACCTCCGAGATTGGTAAATTGGTACCAAACTGGTCTCAGACTTGTCTGGGAGGACAAGCAGCGCTGACTCGATACAGCGTGAGGCCTCCGCCAGTCACTATAATTATCAGATATGCATTCAATTACCTAAAACGAAGCTAGAAATTAAGACGATTGCATGGCACATTCCTCAGGGATTGATTAGCGCCGAGAGCTTTATCCTTTAGCTTTAATGCGCATAATTATAAATGGGATTTTTAATTATAGCACATATTTGAAACAGTATCATTTATATAACGGAAATTGAGCACTAAAAACTTCAGTAGCTTGAAAATGATTTAGAACTAGTCAGAATAGCCGCGGTCTGAAAAAAAAAGAATGTTTCACAGTGTAGTGATTCGCAGATCATGGTCAGACGAATCAGCCCCGGTAAGGAGAGGCTAATGATTACACGAGCGAAAAAAAGCATTATCAGGAATTATTTATAACTCAATAAAGTCTGTGATAATGTTAGTCTTTTCGAGGTTGGTACGTCGGACCCATACGTACGTTGCGGCGGTGTCGCCCGCTTCATCAATGGCCCACTCCCCACAGTGAACCCTATTTAATAAGAGGGATGGGGAGACCTTGCTTATGGCATTAGCACATGATACTGTGTTATCACCATTTTTAAGCGATGAATTTTTCATGACAGCGAACATGTGGACACCACTACTGTGAAGCAGAGTTCGGTGGGGGCGTGGGCCATTGACGAAGCGGACGACGTAGGTATGGCTTTGACGTACCCAACTTTAACTCCGAACTTGTCGCGGATTATATTGAACGCTCAAAGCGAGATTCATAAACAGTCGATGGATTTCTGCATATATAAAACGTTTCTAATTATGAAGCGGCAAACAGACCATCAGCTATATCCGAAAAGATCACTTTCCTGTGATCCTTGGATAGTTCACATAAATTCAGTTGTGGCACAAGTCGGGGCTTTGACTAGGTGACGGGATCCTGGCACAGAATCATACGGTGATTAGAAATAAGAAAAAAGCACTTTCACACTTAAGCGTGCTATTTGGTCATATATTGCATGTCTACTATTAACAATCTCGTTGAAAACCTACTTTACTTCAATTATGGTATTATCAGCAAGTTATAGCTTCTCAACATCTCTTTTTAGAATTCAGGAAATAGATGGTCGATGAAACAAAAATCTATTCAGTTACCATTTCGACGTCTTCGCTTTTTTTTTAAAGCTCGGAGATAATAAATAACTATCAACGAGTCATTAGCTATTTATAATCTTCTATACAAGCGCATCACTTATTCATTCAAAGTGTGCTCCACCGAGGATGATTCAATTCAAATGAAACAAAGAGGAAGATTTACAAGGAGAACGAATAATTGTGGATAATCGACTTGAATTATCGGCTCTGAAGAAGACGAAGATATCAAAACATTAGCAGAATAAATCTTATCCATGAGCTCTGTGAATTATACCCATATTTAAAAGAAGGCTACTATGTATAAACTGTACAAATTCTTCTATTTCTGCTTTTGAACCGTGTTGTGAGGGTGCTTACTGAAATGCATAGCATTTGATTTTAGGCAAATAAAAATCAGAAGAGAGTAACAATTCTAAGCTGTTACCTAAAGTGCATTGAATGCCGATATGGGCCTACTTGACAATCACCGTTGGGCCTTTCGGGATCTTGTATCTCACTGGGATACCGATAGGCGCGCCACGCAGAGGGCAGCGGCAGGAAATTTCTATTGGCGCCCGTGGGTTATGTGGTAAATTTAGATTCTCATGGAACGTAATCATGGTTAAACGACGGAACATCATTGACGGAGTATTACTAAAAAGATTCTATAAGAATAATAATAAAGATAATGCCTAAGTGTCAAAAATTCCCTACGTTTCTATGAGGGAAATACACTATTCTAAAAAGAAACATATCTCCAAGTGCTACTGCACATTTTTATTATCTAGATACTCGAAGTTAAACGATAGCTTGAGAGATGAGAATTTGGAACATTAGTATATACAAAATTCCCCATATTGTGTTCTACTAACAAAACGAAGATAACGTCTTGCATTTAGAGCACGTTGCCTCAGATTCCGAGCAATTTTGGTATTGAATAGTAAAATTTTAAATCCGAGCAGGGATAAATCCCTATGAAGAGATACCTTATTTTCAGGCAACTATACATATAATCTCAGCAGAGAGATTTTACGCATATTCTTAAACTTCTCTTCATTTCAACGCGACAACTCTATCGTTGGGATAAAAGTTTATTTTAAGCCTTTTGCATTCCTTTCAACGATGTTGTAGGACTGTTGCTCGAGAACACATTTTCCGCAATAGACGATTTATGCAAACTGCGTTTTATTACGTGAAGCACTTGTATTGCACTGTTGAAGTGCCGATAGCAGACCACATGCATGGCTCAAAAATAACTATCAGACATATTGAAACTTGAGCATGGTCCCAAGAAACGATCGAGACGAAAAGTTTCGTTTTAATCAATTTAAGGAGTATTTCTTTGTAGGATCGATTCCCATGACCGACTAACGATTAACCTCGGCAATGATTGAATAACATTTCAATTTTCCTATTCAACGACTAGGAGATTGTTAAGTTGAAGATCTATTCAGTACGCATAAACAGTACAGTACACGCAATGGAGGTTGCTGACGTTTTGGCGCTCTCACCTTCTTCAGAGCGTGAAAGAGTCAGATTGATATATAAAACTCAGTCAAGCACTCTCATAACCAAAGCAGAACAGCTTACATTGCAGACTGTTTTGTTGCTTTTTATGGTCCGTTAGATGCTACGTAGACCATTCGCGTACAGTGTCTTTATATAAGGTGCGCTATTCTAACCCTGATTCTTTTTCTTTTATTCAGAAGAATTATCAAAAGGTCAACAACTTATGCAATTAGCATCACGGAGTGGCAAAATGCCTTCGCTTATAGCGTCACTATAGATGAATAATCATTAAAACGTTATCGCCGATAGGCAATTGCAAATGTTACCTAAACTTTGTACTTGTGACATTCATTACTTGATTCCTTTTTTAAAGAGACAATTAAATTCGATTGCTGATAAAGGGCGAATCAAGTGCACGATTTCTTCTACAAAGGCCTTCCTAGTGCGCAGTACTAGCATGAAAAATAATGCGCGTCGCTTCCGGAGTGGCTCATTGCTTAAACTTCACAGAGGATTGCCTTGCAACAATGTAGTAAAATGTCGATCTAAAGAGTATTTTAGCATCACTAGGATGGATTAATAATCAAACGACTTTTCTTAGAGGTATTTTGAAATTAAAAGCATCCATGCATCCCACAACCAGCATTTTCCACTCCAAAATGACATCAGAGAGAAATGAAAATGTTCGATATTCCTGTAGCGTATTCTTGTCGCTCACCTTGTGAAAGTGAAACTATCTTTCCACCTGATCGTCATATAGGATAGTCTACGCCATAGTGAGCTCACAATCACGGGTTGTATAGTTCGTTGAAGTCGATTGGTCCTTTGCACCTGAACATTTCGTTGACAATACAACAATAGTTAGAATTCTGGACGTTTCTCCTTCCTTGCAGCTGGGAATATCAAACTGGCTCACAATCTTCTCAGTCGGTCACATGCGAAGGTCTATTTTCGAGGACAGTAGGTGTCAAACGAACAAATAGTTTGCAGTATGAAACACGTTTTCGAAGTAATTACAGAATCCACTTTTACATTTTGCTGATGTCATGAATGGTTCACCGAAGCCGATTGGCTTTTTTGGCGTGAGTATTACGACGCCTTAAGCGTCCGTGCGCCGCTCATCAAAGGGTAGGGTTTCGAGTGACAGCACTTTTTTTGAGAGCCCCTGGAATACCTCTCACCGTTCAAATTATATTGCTTTTCTGATAATTATTTTTCAAGCAATCAATGTGGTCTGCAATGTGCATTTATATAGTGCAATACCTGTGTTCCGGCTTTCCAACTTCGTCGGTTGCGAATGCCTTCCGTTCAATCGGTTCCTCGGATCTACCCCTTATTGAAATTTGAGCGTGGTCGCAATAAACATTCGAAACGAAAGGTATATTACTGGCTATCGTTTGGGTAACTACCCAAGACCCAGCAACTGGGACGAGCATTTCTTTCCATGATGTCACCGACCTCTTCACCGTCAATGTTTCCACGAGAACGATCAAGCGAGATTTCCTTGTCTTTATCCGGAGACTTAAGAAAGCTTTTAAATCATAATATTATTTAAGCGCACACCTTTTCGTAATTTTTACAACTAGCAACTTTAAAATAGTCTGTCAAAAGTAAACCAATCTTGCGCAATATTTTTTTGGTAAACGTGGAGGAAGATACTCATAGGAAACAGTTGGACAGACGAGGAGGACTTTAATAAACTGATAGTCCTCCTAAATCACATGCACATGGTAACTTCGAATCTTTCGAAGAATGGGTAGTGGACGAGATGTCGGTATTCAGTTTAGAGCACACTGAACTAAAAATAAATAAGTAGAGTAAATATAATTAGTTTGCTTCAACAGTGACTAAGATTTCACTAATGAATAATGCTCATAGCAGAGTTCAAGTGGATATTCTGAAGTCTTTCAACCATAAGACATTAGTAAATCTTTCTCCCACAATTTAAAAGAACTCTCAGATCATAAAGTATCTAGTAATAAAAATATGTTGAGAATATATACCTAAGAGAACTGAGCAGTGAGCAAAAAAAAAGAGTGAGTGGTGATGCGAATGTAACTCGGTGGTGTAGCGGTAGCACGCGTCTTCGGTTGGATGATGCGCTGGTTCGACTCCCGCTTGAGGTGGTATTTTTGCTTACCACTTAATTTTCTTAGGTATACAATAAACATCATAACATTGCGAAAAGTGCAGTAAAAACACTAGGAATTTGGAATATGTCGAGAATAATTAATGAAGTTGTATTTCATGCAGTGTGCAGCACCATTTTTGATATTAACTTATTTTCGAATTATGCAGTAATGATAATACATTTGATTATTTAGCTATATACTTACTTGAGCAATAAACAAGGACGAGTCGTTTTTCACATAGGAAATCGGTGATGGATGTTACTGAGATATGTGTAAATATTAACAAGATAGTGAAGAATGTTCAATAACAGTTCGAAATAGTACTTATTCTAATCTGATTTTCCCTTGAAAATGAAGGTTTTAGTGGAGGCGTCGGCGTCTTTTCTACTACTCATAACCTTACAGAGATAAATTCCATCGTCATCTCCTATTAGGGGTGGATAAACCGCTTGAGTGGCGACGAAAATCTGATTTTTGTTAGAAAACTACGACTTTGCATCAAAGTGCCTTTCGCTCGCCGCACGATACCGCAGCTTACCGCGCAAGGAATCAACGTGGTCCAGAGCGGGTCTTTTATCTTTGAGAACGGCATATATCATTGCTTGTTCCCGCCATTCGGACAACTAGCGAAGATTGGTGCGCACCCATTCAGAAATCTGGTTAATTAGGGAACATTGTTTTCACCCAATGATGTGATATCACTAAGGAAAGTTCTGTGAGGATAATTTTAGTAAAATTAACGCCAAAGTGTCCAAGAACCGAGAAAAAAAACAAAAAAAAATTAAAAAGTTCTCCAACAAGAAAATTACATTTTCCTGAAAAGGAACATATTCAAGCTATCATTGATCATTTTCCTTACTTTCTTTATGTTCTTACAGTCATTCCATAGTTGGAAAATGTGGAATTTAGTACTAAGATTGATTTAAGTAGAGAAGATCTTCTTTTCGTGCTAGAAACTAACCAACAGAAGTTGTGAAGTTTATGCTTTCAGAGTATTTAGCTTGTTGTTTCGATTTCACAGTGATTTTACTAGTGCTAAGATAGCGAATTTCATATTCTAGAAAAGTTCATCGCAAAAAATAGATTCTTAGATTGAAGAGAAAATTCCCATTGTTTGGATGAGAATGTCGTTTTTTCGCATGAATCGTGTGTGATTTTCATATCATTTGAAAGGTCTACTTCTTGCGCATCTATGGATTTATAATTTGTCCATATCTCCTTCAGATTGGAGGTCTGACAAAAAGGTCAAACACCGCCATCCGTACAGCGTCAAAATCGATTTGGTAAAAAAGTCATGATTTGCGTTTGGTGGAATTTTGAGGATTTTGCATTTTGAGCTTGTTACAAATGGCAAATCCATCAATGCCGATCTTTACCGCGGGCATCTGGACCGAGTTTAAGACAAGTTGGCCGAAAAATACCCAGAACTTGTTCGTCGAAAGAGCGCTTTGTTTCAGCAAGACAGCGCAAAAAGACCAAGGCAAAGCTAAGGAATTGGACGGAGTTGAGATTCTACCGCATCCACCTTACAGTCCGGACGTTGCTCCATCTGATTACGGCCATCTCCAATCAATGCAACACTTTTTGGAAGGTCTGACTGGAATTTTTCGGTGAAGTTGAAAAAGCATGTTAAGAGTTCTTTGATTCAAAGTCGAAAGAGTGGTATTCGACCAGATCCGAAACCTGGCGGACCGATGGCAAAAGTGGTGGATAATGATGACCTGTATATTAAAGAATAGTTGTTGTTGTTTGTTGTCTGAATATATGCATAAATTTTGAGTGTTCTATCAAACGATGAACATTTTCTTTACAACCTAGTATGATCTGATAACTGATAGTGGCAATGAGTACTTCCTACTTTTCCACTAAACTATCACTAATCATGCGATTATTTGAGAAATTGAAACATCAGTACTGGGCTTGTTTTCTGTAAAGGCATTATCAGTGCTTAGTATTAACGAGGATAAAGAACGCATCACCTCTGAAATAGTTAATCACGTTTATGAACTTCTCAACGGGTTCTTATTACAGTGTATAGTAGAGTTTTAATGATGGGAGCACCTCGTCTTTACGAAAAAAAGCATCTTGCAAAAGGTTTTCTCCCTAATAGTATACTATGTCTACGTGAATACAAAACTCCTTCAACGACGATGAAAATCTAAACTTCATTATAAAAGTACCATAATATCATTGGAGCACATGCCACCAGTCGCTCTTCGTAGCCATCCGAACAGCCCGCCAGCTGAAAATGGCTGCCATCCGCAAAGTATCAAACGTTGGTTGTTGAAAGCCTCAAAAGTTTTGCCGAAGAAGGAGTTGTAGCTAAGCGGTGACCTCGATGGTGTACTTGCAGCGCGCACCTCCGGTATGGGTGAGACGTTGGTTCAACTCCCACCTTGAGTCGACTGTTTTGCATATCATCCAACAATCTCAGATGCGTAAAAACTTATGGACACTTAGACTTCCCGTTTACATTGACAGTGAGAGCCGCGGTATGGTATTCATTTGTTTTTCTGGCATAATTGTCATCCATGGTGGTAGTCCGTTTCAAGCAAGGTAACGTACGCGAGGCCCATTTCATGATTCTTGACTTGTTGTGATCTGAGGACGGAGATTTACGACACTACATACACAACCGCCCCATCGTTTGGAGAGCCTTTTAAGAAAATGCCTGCCTTCTTTTGAAGTTCACTCCACGTTCTGAGTAGCTAAGTGATTATGATGGTAATAAAACCTTTTCACACGTTTCGCATATCATCTGAGTAACCTTCAGTCTATTTCTCACATTCACAGCTAGAGATTATAACGATCAAATTCTGGGCATAATAGCGCTAGTTTTCCAAGAATAAATGGTAATTTTGATGAACAACAGCTTGCTATGGAATGCCACAGCAAGGCTGTCCTCGAGGTTGCAAGGAGACCCGCTCAACCAGTATTCTACGCCGTTCAAGAAGAAGGCGAAAAACGAAGTGAATGCTAGAAGTGCTAAGATCCGCACAGTGAAAAAACACCGTGATGACGGATCGAATAAAGTGCTATGCTTGATGTGCATTCATTAGTGACGTGCACGTCTCTCTGAACAAAGACATGCAAACTCTTCGAGAATATCACATGGATTCGAGGCAACGCGCGCTAGTAAAGGTTGCTTACGGAAACAAACATTCGTATGTAACATCAATTGCAGTGCACATCAAGGAACTTTATTCAAAATTCTCTGAAGTCATTGTGACATCAAAAATATATGTCTATTCGATAATTACGCCATCCATAGTGACGAAAATATCTGTCTAGAAAACTAGTTGATAAGTTGACGAGTTGCAGATGTTCCTTTTCTCTACTTTACAGCAATACATTGAAATTACATCTTTGGTTTCGCTTAGAAGGTCATCAAAATGGCATCTTACCACGGCTTATGAAGAAGACGCTATCAGTTTCGACTTGGTAAACAAATGAATGTCGCACAAAAAAATGGTAGCCAAAGAAATTCCTTTCTAGCACCGCCAGCGCTTCATTTGCGTGATTGAAAAGATCCGCTCGTTGACCGCAATTGGGGTGCGATAAGAGGAGGATTTGCAGCGACAAAATGTGACAAGGGGCCCGTGGTGTAGCGATCCACAGTACTTCTTACAGCTCAAACTGCACCGAGAGAAGGCTGCGCTGACCGTATAGTAGTTTACAGCTAGTTTCATTCATCGCAAGTTCCTCATTCCGGGTTAGGCGGGCATGGTGAGAAAGCATTATCCAGATCAGCTGTCGTCTTCTGACCGTCGAGTGAATCGAGTGGACACCAGTACAGCTTCCATTCATCCTTTTTTGTTTTAAAGTAGCTCACCCAATCTCTTTATTATAGTGATTCATTGGATATCATCTCTTTATTCAGATTATTTGTAAAAAAAAATTAGACTGTCGTGTCGGCAGTCTTCCTATTATGCGTTTGCTGCACGAAAAAACCCACGCAGCGACTATTCATTCAATGGCTCCTGTTGAAACCCATTATGTGTCCAGCCTAAGTCATCTTGGATAACTTGTCAAGTAGAACGACGCTTCAATCGTTGATCGTTGATCGTTGATCAGATCAGACCTTCAAATCTTTTCTCTATATTCCGAGACGCGGGATACTTTCTAGCACTGACCTTTTGGACTATACTTTCACTAACGCCAAGTGATCCTTCATCCTGCCTAAGTAGAGACCATTTTCTTAGAGCATTTGTTAATGCAAGGAGAGCTGTTTCATTGAAAAGTGAGAGCGAAGTCGCATGTTCTTTACTACATCCTCAATGGTCTTATAAATTAATTCATAAACTGGATTATTCTAGCAAGTGTGAGACTTAGCTTGACGCACTGTTGGAAAACAGCATTAATTATTTTTCAAAGTTAAGACCATCATTCCAAACCGTCTTTTGCTAGAGATCTGCAAGTTTTTTGATTTGTTTGAGATTGCCATCCTTTGGGCTTTGCCTCAACAAAACCCCTAACATGCCTCTTCGAATTGATCGGATGTCTTAAATAGGCGTTCACGTAGAAAGTGTTCTGCTGCAGCGGAAATTGGACCATAATCAAACGGCGTAGCATCTGGACAGCAGGCTGGATGCGGTAGGACCTCTAATTCCTCCAACTCAGCAAACTTTTCTTTGTCTTATTTGCGTTATAAGGTTTTGCATTGTCTTACTGAAACAACGCGCTTTTCAACGAATCAGTGTCGGGTACTATTCCTTCAGCTCATCGTTTACTTGGTCCACCTGCTCTCAATTCCCATTGGAATTTCTTATGGAGATATTGATGAGATATTCCAATGATTTCAAAATAACCGATAGTGTGTGAAACAAACATAAAATTTGAAATGTTCGCGGGTGTGGAGGAATTTTTCCTTAACTTAGTGCAAGACCTCGAAAGATGTTCGACAGTATACACGGTTTTTTTTCTAAAATTATTGGCGGGAACGTGAGATATAAATTGTTAGGCATGCAACCAAAGTAAGCCTCACGTGGTTCACT